TGCTACATTGATGAAGAGTCCTGGGCACTCTTCACGTGAAGAACACTCATCAGATTCAGGGCGAGTTCAAACCGAACTTTGTGTGTGAGATTTGCTCGTGCATCAATCTCCACGGTCCATATTCAATTCTGTCATCGAAGTTAAGATCAAGACCTCACTGAATGCATCATGGCAGGGGACATGGGTTGAGTTGCACGTTGCTGAAGCTCCCCTTTCCAGAAACGTTCTCTGTCAATGTTGTTACTCGGCACAGCTTGCCAATGTGACCCTGCTCAGCATGTGTTTCGCCTCCGCCTACTGCATATGCGGGGTATCATTTGTCTGAAGCTGGGAGTTCCCTGATCACTTTCAAAGGACAAACCGGGCAACGAGAGTGGATTGGTCGGATTCTGAGACTGATTCAATATCGATGGCATCATTCTCTGCTGATAAAGCTTGGACAAGCAGATGCGAATTTCGAGCTGCATCCATGATTCCATGCAACAATGAAAGACAGATGGGGAAATTCGAGAACATTGGCTGGACCACGATGGGCATGGAGTTCGGGCGGTACGAGAACAACATCAGCAACAAACTGGTCAACAAGGTTAGCTATGCGTCATACGCAGATTTGCGCTAGCCGTTGCGAAGTTTGTGCAAGCTTGGTAAGCTTAGGCTGGGCTGGGCAAGTCTCAGAAGGCGCCGTTCTCGGAGTTATCGAGGGTTGCAGGCCGCGGTCGTGTCAATGACGAGAATCGTCTCAAGTTTCGAGCTTGAACCCGGCAATGGCCTGTGTGTTCATGTTTTCTGGTCTGACATGAAAAAGTTGAAAATTTCGGCGGAAATTGAAGTTTGTAAGTGAGAGGCTGATCCGAGTCTCTCAACGTTGGCCGAGGCCAGCCACGGAGCATCCGAGGATATCGGAGGCTGCTCTCGCCTCACCGAGCCGTCACCGGTCGTCGGTCTGCCATGTGAGTCAGGGTCTCCTCGGTGTGGCGGGGTGAGCCCCGGGTTACCGAATGCGGCATCGGGGCACAGGTGAGCAGGCCAATGGGAAATGGGAAGGCTCACATTCAAAGCCGGCCGATCATAGGCGCGCCGGCATGAAGCTCCGACCTCTCGGGGCCCACTGCGCTGTTTGCACTGATGTGACGCTGGGCTCAGAGTGTCCCGCAGCGCTCCCGCCTCCCCCACTTTCGACTCACACTGGGACCTTTTTTTCCCAATCAACAGCGAGCGTCGGCGTGCTTTCTTTCTGCCAATGCAGCAGCCCCAACACTCGTCACCACCACAAACTGCACCTCACTCAACACCAACGTACTCTTTTCCTTGGGTTTTGTTTTTCCTTGACGTCCTCGCGGGTCCGGATAATGCCAGCAGACCCCATTTAGCCGCGCAACGACGCCTCATGTCTCGCCGAGGGTAAGCCAGCAGCCAAGAGCGCAAAGAGCCGCCGTCGCAGGATCGAATCCCACCATTTGTCAGCCCCAAAGCGTCCCGAACTTATGTCACACCTCGAGTCGATTCCCTCAGATCCAAACCTTCGTGATCCCTCTCCTCGCCGCCGCCCCTCGACAACCCTCGCCGCACAGATCGGCCCACAAAGCCAGCCATGGAGATGGAGCACTTCTCGCCAGCAAGCCAGCAGTCGAATCCCACGACTCCCGCGACCACGGTCAACAACAACCCCCAGCACTCGCCAGCCTCTCCGACCACCTCTACAGCGCCAGACTTCCCCGCCCTCAGCCGTCATGGCGCAACGTCTATACCCCCCGACCAACCTGTCGCCATGACGGCGTCGGGCCAACCTGCCCTCAATCCGCGCAGCTGCGTCACCTGCCGAAGGCGAAAGGTCCGCTGCGACAAGCAGATGCCGTGTAGCAACTGCCGCCGCGCCGTCATTCAATGCATCTTCCCCGCCCCCGGCCGCGCCCCCCGCCGACCACGCCCAAAGGACCCCAACGCCCCGCCAAAGAACTCGACCGAGCGCGAGGTGGAGCTGATGAAGCGGTTGCGCAAGCTGGAGGGCATCGTCGAGGAGCTGAGCGGCCAGATCGAGGTAGAGAGCGGCCCCGGAAGCAGCGGCGGGCGCCAGAACTCGAGCACCGGCAACTCTCCCGAAACCACAGGCCACGAAGCGCCTTCAGAGCGCGGGAACAGGACGTTTACTGCTGCGCAGCTCAATGCGATAAAGGAAGGAATTGCGGACGGGGCTGCTATGCAGAAGAAGTTGAACGCAATCGAAGAAAAGACGAGGGGGATGGAGCCCAAGGCCGCGAGCGTCAGCAAGTCATTTGGCCGCTTGGTGTTGCACGACAAGGGAAAGACGAGCCGATACGTGAGCAGCGCGTTTTGGTCCAAGCTGAATGATGAGGTGAGTCGGTCGATAGCCGTCATGTTTCGTTAGCTGACGGGGATATTACAGCTCGACGAACTTCGAGAACGGGCGCGCATCCTCGACGAAGAGTTCAGCGACGAGTCTGACCAGGAGGACACACCGGATCACTCTCCCCTGCACGCCGTCGACGCATCGACCGATCATCACGCATTTATACTGGGTTACCGATCGTCGGACGTTGACTTGCGCAAGTTGCACCCACTACCGTCGCAAATACCCTTCATGTGGCAGGTGTACCAGGAGAACGTAGAGCCATTGCTCAAGATTCTGCATATCCCGACAATGGAGAAGCTCATTCGCGACATGCGACGCAACATGGACGATCTTACGGCCGGTCACGAGGCTTTGTTGTTTTCCATCTACTATGCCGCCATTACGTCCATGGAAGACGAGGAGGTTTGTGCCTCTCTATCTAGCACACTGGCTCCAGCTAACCACCAAGCTAGGTCGAGAAGAACTTCGGCTCCAAGAAGGACGAGATGCTATCGCAGTACCGTTTCGCGCTCGAACAGGCCCTCGCAAAGGCCAATTTCCTCAATACCTCGGATATCGTAGTGCTGCAAGCCTTCGTCCTGTTCCTTACCCTTGTACGCCGCCAAGACGACACGAGATTCTGCTGGACGCTCACCGGGCTTGCAATCCGCATGGCGCAAGGAATGGGCATCCACCGCGACGGAACAAACTTCAACCTCCCGCCTTTTGAAACAGAAATGAGGCGCCGCCTGTGGTGGGCCATCTGCACCCTCGACCTGCGTTCCGCCGAGGAACTCGGTAGCGATCTTACCATTATCGACCGCTCCTTCGACACGGAGCTGCCGTCCAACCTTAATGATTCGGATATCGATCCAGGAATGATTGACCCGCCAACCCCTCGTCAAGGCAGGACGGATTGTGCGGTTTCATTAGTTCGTTACGAAATTTGCGCCTTGTCGAGAAGGCTGCATACTGTTGGTTCGGCTATGGCGGGTGTCTGCCCGCGCGATGCGTCCTCTACTCTCGAACAGCGCGAGAGCAAGCTAATCGAAGTCTACAACCGGGTCGAAGAGAAGTTCCTGCAACATTGTTTCACGGATGACGACCCGCTGTTCTGGATGGCGGCCATGATCGCCCGCGTGATCATGGCCAAGATGAGCCTGGTCATCTACCAACCCATGCTATTTCCCGGCAACGGGACCGAACTATCAGGCGAAATTCGCGACAGACTTTTCGTGTCAGCAATCGAAATTGTCGAGTATAATTATATCCTAAACACTGACCCTCGCTGCCGTCAATGGCGGTGGCTTTTCCAGACGTACAGACAATGGCATGCCATTGCGTACATCCTCATGGAGGCCGGTCGACGCCCGTGGTCTGCCACCTCTGAGCGTGGCTGGGAAGCAGTCAACAAAACCATTCGATTTGACCAGGACCCTGGCGAAATAGCCAAGATGGCAGACCATATGGCTGTGTGGATGCCACTGCGAAAACTCAGCGCGAAGGCCACGAAGCATCGTGAGGCAGAGATTGCTCGGCTGCGAGCGAACCCCGAGGCCGCCCGCCAGCTCGACGTCGACGACCGCATGGACACGATCCCGGCCAGACTGGGCCCGGTGCCCGGCATGGAGAGCCAACAACAGGCGATTCGCACACGATGGAGGAAGCTCTGCGGGGTTCGGGCAGATTTGCCCATGACACAACCGCCACCCGCCGAACGGAGGAATCCGAGTAATGAGAGGTCCACGGTGGATCCATACCCTCAACCCAAACCTGCCGGAGAGCCGGTCAACATGTTCCCCGGCCAGGTGGTTATGCCCGACGAAGACTCGGAGCTTGATACGGTCATGATGTCCCGAGCGGGCTTCACTTCCAGCGAGATGTGGGAGTACATCTACCCCACGGCGCAGTCCATGGCCGCAGACCCGAACAACACACTTTTCCCACCCAGCGCGATCCAGCCGCCGGCATCGCAGCCACCCATGGTCACGACGGCAGTCCCCACGCCGGCTATTTCCAACAACACCCAAATGACCGACGCCGAGCGGAGGCAGAGGCAGCAGGCCATCGCCGCCACGTCCCAGCCGCAGATCGCGTCGTCCCTCAGCGACAACCAGCCGCCGTGGTTGTGGTCCGACCCGTTCACGTCCATCAACAACCGCTTCGACGACGTGCCGATGGACACTATGGATGTCAACATGGATAACCTGGACAACTTCAACTGGCAGAATTGGCAAGAGAGTATCAAGGGGTTCGAGATGGACCCGGAGAATATGCCGGCCAAGGGGGCCTGGTAGAGGGGGGTGAGTTCTTGGGAAATTTCTCCTCTCACGCGACGGCCCTTGGAAAGGCTATGTAATGATACCCACTGCAAGCAGAGGTAATGAATGAATGATGAGATGTATTTTTACCATGTCGATGCCATCTACAACGCTTAATCGTATGTCGCTATAGCTTCAACTGATGCCACTCCCCCCAAATTACGCATCCACTTCCTGGCTCTCCCTCCTCTAATACCCCCTCAAAACAAAAAGACAGTGCGATCCCTATGCAAAAAGCAAAAAAAAAACTGGACGATCAGGGAATCGAACCCTGGACCACTCACATGCTAAGCGAGTATTATACCACTAAACCAATCGCCCAATGTTCATGATTTCGTCCGGACTTGAACCGGAGACCTTCAGTGTGCCAGGCGAGGGCATTCGGAGAATGCGCACTCGATCTGTTAGACTGACGTGATAACCAACTACACCACGAAACCATTTCTTGTTGTGGAGGAAGCAGGGGGAGATGGCTTTGAGGGTGGGCGACGGGACGGCTACTGGAATCCACCCTGCAGCGGGACTGGTGAGTAAGATGGGTTAGTAGAAATGGAAAGTGGAGGTGTGGATGTGTATGAAGGCTTGACAATTGTGAGTCTGAGCGAGTTTATATAGTTTTGAATGTAGAATAAGAGTAAGTGAGAGGGTTTGGAACTTGATTGAGACTGAACGAGGCTCGCAGGCGTTTCTCGCCTGTCAGGCGAAATAGCAGGCGCAGCCACAGTGAGCCTGCCGTGGCGGTGCGGCGGTGCAGGAGGCACACGGTGTCTCACGTCTCACTGGCCGATGTGACTCAGTGAGTTCATTTAAATGGACCTCAACTCACCCTCTTATCTCTTAATACTGATCACTCAACAAGCACTCATCTCATTCTTTGATCACGACATTGGGTGTTTCTTGGTGCTGAAAAGATGTCTGTCACTACAATCAACCCCTTCGCGAACCCGCGCATCGGCGTCGCGGCGATCGTCCAGCGCAAGGACGGCAAGATCGTGGTCGGCAAGCGGGAGAGTAGCCACGGCGCAGGTAACGTCACCCCCTCTCAGACACCCGCTATTAAAGACTCTTCATTTCCAGAGACCCCGAGGAATGCTTTGTGCTTCTACGCCCTCTCATTCGGCCCAAGATGATTAGATGTCGACGCAGCTAACCGTTGTGCAGGCACATGGCAGCTCCCCGGCGGGCACCTCGAATTCGGAGAGTCCATCTTCGGCTGCGCGGAGCGCGAGACGGCGGAGGAGACGCAGCTCAAGGTCAAGGCGAGCAAGATCGCCGGCGTGACAAACGATGTGTTTCAGGAGCAGGGGAAGCACTACGTGACGCTGTTCGTGAGGTGCGAGATGGAAGATGAGGCGGCTGAGCCGGTGGTGAGTTCTGATTTATGTCGTTCCCCCCCCCCGAGTGAAGTTGTGATTAGTTTCATGTGAGCGTTGCTGATGATGGACAGAACCTGGAACCTGAGAAGTGCTCTGGGTGGTACTGGATGTCGTGGGATGAGGTCAGAGAGATCAACGCAAAGGCGAAGGAGGGGGGTGCGATGAAGCTGTTTATTCCGCTGGCTCATCTCATTGAAGGGAACCCCGGTATTGAGAATGCCTGAGGTCTAGCATTTGAAGGGAAATAGTACCTCTATAGATCTTTTGCGCTCAATCTCGGTCGACTTTTTATAAGCCAGCCTCAACCCTCCATGGAAACCTGATATCCATCATGAGTTCTTGGCCTCTTCCAAATCCTCATCCGTGTTCTTTGACGCGTTTCCCGAGAGCTATATCTCAATAGTCAGCAATATCCCCAATCACACAAAACGTCAAACTCACCCCGATCAGCATCCTCTTATCCCCAGGCACAACCATCTCAAAAGCATCATTAATAACCCCATACTCAAAGTATCCCAGCCTCGCAATCGGATTCGTCTTCCTCACATCAATCTTGCCATTCGTCAACGCCCACTCGTCCACATGCACGCCCACCACCCTTCCAAACACCACATCCACCGTCCCCATCGGGCCCTTGCCCGGCAGCCGCACCGTCTGCACGTACTCGCACTCGAACCGCACCGGCGACTCCTTGACCATCGGCACCGGCACGCGCAGCCCGCGCGAGAAGGTCTTGGCGAGCCCGGCGCGCGCGAACTCGTCCTCGTCGGGCGGCACGGCCTCCGCGGTGACGTTGACGGCCTCGCGCAGCACGTAGGTGCACAGCTGCCAGCAGAAGACGCCCGTGGCCTCGATATTGTTGACGGTGTCCTTGCGAGTCTGCGTGGCGTCGTCGGGCAGGGTCTGGTTTGCGGAGAACATCACCATGGGCGGGTCGAAGGTGACGTTGGTGAATTGGGAGTAGGGCGCGAGGTTGTGCTGACCGGTGGGCGAGGTGGTTGAGATCCAGCCGATTGCGCGGGGGACGACGCAGGCCTGGAGTGGGAGGTTAGTGAGTGAGATGGAGATTGGAAGGGTGGGAGTTTTACTTTGAAGGGGTCGTGGGGGAGACCGTGGTCGTTTACGCCTGGATTGTAGTACATTGCTGCGGTGTTTGCGGTTCTGGGGAGTCTAGCGGCTCTGTGTGTAAGTGACAGACGATCTTTATCGGCCGGTTTGAAGCTCACTGCTGCTCACTCGTTCTTGGCGGGATTATTTATGATAGAATATGGAGAACCGAAGTCCCGTTGTGCTGACCTCGGATCCGGATTACGTCACTTGTGAAGCACGGTCGGGGAGTTCGGAGAGTATGCGCTCTCGGTGCTTTCGGCTCCTCGGCATGTTTGACGGCGGAAGGAATTTGGGACTTTCGATCGAAGGAATTCGCTTCAGTCAGCCTTGTTTGATACGGGTTGTGGTATTACCTTAAATCTTTAAGCTTGATCCGATCCTGTATCTCATCACCCCTGACCGACAAACGCTGTTCTCAGCTCGCTGAACGGCGTCCACCCGCCATGAACGTTGCACCATGGGTCTTTGGAAATGAAAATGAGTCCATTCATATAGTGGTGATGGCTGTCTCCACTCCCGCAGGCTACTGCTGCCTCACTGCTTTCAATTACTACCTCCGGCGTCTCCTCCGCGGATATAGCTGCCAATTGATTCTGGCACGCTCTGTAGCCTAGAAACGTTGTAAGACTTGTCTAGCGCGATGTTGCCGTTGAACGCATCCACGTTCTTACCGTCATATGGTATATGATGCTAGTCTTCGAATAAGCTTGAAGGAAATTTACCACTATCCTCGGAGAAGAACATAGAGTTAGGTATAGAGTATGGTATTATACTTCATGAAAGAAACTTGCACCTGACTTACTTTGGCTGTTGACGATCAAAACCTGGAGAAGTCACCATTTCAGGAGAGCCAGACAGGGATGTCTTTCTCTTATGGCCAGGAACCTTGCATCCAGCATGCCTCCACATCACTCAACAACGCGAGGCACAACAATGAATCGATATCACGATCATTAAAGGGCCACATGGATCCCAGAATCATAATGAAATCTTGAGTCGGATAGAAGACACGTGTAGAGGCCTGCGCTGATACGGAAAGAGATCCCCAAAATGTTGATATAAGTTTCAGAATAGAGCGATTTGGAATGCAGCGTTTGTCTAGCTGCTGATATTAGCTATCGCTCTTATGAGCGTCGAAACTATTTCCAGTATCTCTGGCCCGAATCCTTGAGCTCTGTCGTCTTTGAAGGAGTGCAGGAGCAAGATGTAGTCAACTTGCAGCGCAGTTCATCTGAATGTCTTTATGCCAACGCACTTACAGATCGCGGTATCTCTCAAGACTTGTAAGCTCAGATGTGCGCTACAAGATGCGTCGACTTGACCACGCCGTTTGGGATGGCGCAAATTAAAGAGGCAAAGCCTTTGTTCGAAACACGTTGCCCTGGCTGAGTAGGCACTTGCCGGTGGCAGTGGATGCATTCGCGGCCGAGTAGCAAAGGGGCGTGGTGCCACACGTGCGTCTTAGCAGCTTGAGTCGGTGAGGCGTTACCACGCTTGCGTTAGAGCGCCGGGAGAATGAAAGATGGCGCTTGACTAATGAGCACCACAAAAGCCGTACTGTGAGGCGACAACTGCCGACTTCGATCGCCTCCAACTGCCGGATTCCATAAATCCCAATCCGGCTGCTGTGCATGGCGGTACGCCCGGATTATAGTTCCGTCGATCTGGCCGCTGATAATTCGCAGTGTAAAAGATCATCACGATCGGCGCGAAGAGGATCGATCAAGGTAAGACATTGTTTCCTGATGATATTCATTTCTTATGATGAGTCATGTTCTCATGAAAAGAAAAGTACAGAGAAGCGCTTCCTATCACGCAACACTACTCTTATTCGCAAAGAACTGGACACTGAAAGCCGTCTCTGTATGAATCCCGCCAGGTCTTATCCAACAGGCTGTTGTGTAATTAAGCCACCCGGGTCGGACGCCTCCGAACCCACGCGATGCTCCCTTACACATCAACCCCGCGTTTAGCTCACGATAGCGTCCGCTGGTCCAGGCCGGTCTTTGTCTTCTGAATGGGTTTTCTTCACCACAACAACCGTGCTCGCACCTGAGTCGCTCGAAAGTGCATGTCAGATAGAGGCTTTCGGTCTTATTCTGTGTTAGGTTTTTTCGGCTTCTTGTTTCTGACTCGACAATCGACCCCTCAGCCAGGTTGTTTTAGTGTAGGGGATAATTAGGGTGTCCCGCGTGCTGGGAACAGCGTCAGTAACCAACTTAAGTCCTGCCGCCATCGTAATCTTCGCATGCCTCTCTTATTATTACTGGCCGTTCGAAGGTGATTTATTCAGGCCACGGCCAGCGACTTCGTACCTTTTTCTTGTTTCTTCTCTTTGACTCTCTCCCGCATTACTACCATCATTATCAGCGATAGCAGCAGCGGCAGTATCGCTTGCAATGAGACACTTGCTATGGCTCAGCCTTATGGCCACTTCCTTGGGGGCTGCCCAAGGATCCCTAATAGAGTATGCAGGCGTTTTGCCACAATGTGGGGTGGGTTTTGCCGTGGCTCAACTTCATGAGATAGTGCTAATATCGTTATCTGCACACAGCTAGACTGTATCCTGGAAAAGCTACCGCTGTCGGCTTGTAACGTCGCGACAAATGACACCTGCATATGTAGTGATGATAGTCTGCGAAAGAGTATGCAGACGTGTCTTCTTCAGCGTTGTGCCACAGTAGATGCTATAGGTTGGTCACCCACCCATTAGTCACAGCTACAACTGACAACCTCTCAGACGTTGCAAAGATAGAAGCAAAGGCATGCGGACGGCCTATTCGTACCCGAAAAGCAGATATTATGGCGCCACTAATTCTTCAAATTGCTGGGATCCTGGCGGTCCTGTTGCGATTATACGCGAGATGGACGATGATGCCTCGACTCGAAGCCGACGACTGGATCATGCTCGTCTGCGGTGTACGTCCGATCTTGAGACACTTTCCAGCAGCTCA